GGAACAGTCATGGGAGAAGTGCGGGAGAAGTTCGGAGAAGACATGGAGAAGGACTTTCGGTCGGCACCAAAGTGTTTCTGGAGAACTGTCCGCCATCTCAGGAGGGGGAAGCGGGGAACCGTCCAAGCTGTGTACAGTAAGGATGGGACCCTGCTGACCTCAACTGGGGAGGTAATTGGGCGGTGGAAGGAACACTTTGAGGAACTCCTAAATCCGACTGACTCTTTAGTAGAGGCAGAGCTCGAGGCTGATGGGGGATTCTTGTCAATTTCCCTGGTGGAAGTCACTGAGGTAGTCAAACATCTCCACAGTGGCAAAGCCCCAGGGATTGATGAGATCTGCCCAGAAATGCTAAAAGCTTTGGGTGTGGAGGGGCTGTCTTGGATGACACGTCTCTTTAACATTGCATGGAAGTCGGGTACAGTGCTCAAGGAGTGGCAGACTGGGGTGGTGATTCCCCTGTTCAAAAAGGGGGACCAGAGAGTGTGTGCCAATTACAGGGGTATCACACTTCTCAGCCTCCCCGGTAAAGTCTACTCCAGGGTGCTGGAACGGAGGGTTCGGCCGATTGTCGAACCTCAGATTGAAGAGGAACAATGCGGTTTTCGTCCCGGTACTGGAACAACTGACCAGCGATTTTACTCTCACAAGGATCCTGGAGTGGGCTTGGGAGTATGCCCATCCAGTCTACATGTGCTTTGTAGAGGGCTGGCCTTCGCCAGGGCTGCCCTTTGTCACCAATCCTGTTTGTGATATTCATGGACAGGATATCGAGGCGTAGTCGTGGCGAGGAGGGGCTATGGTTCGGGGGCTTGGGATCTCGTCACTGCTTTTTGCGGATGATGTGGTCCTGATGGCATCATCGGTCCGTGACCTTCAGCTCTTACTGGATCGGTTCGCAGCCAAGTGCGAAGCGGTTGGGATGAGGATTAGCACCTCTAAATCTGTGACCATGGTTCTCAGCAGGAAACTGGTGGAGTGCCAACTACGGGTAGGGAATGAGTCCTTACCCCAAGTGAAGGAGTTCAATACCTCGGGGCTTGTTCACGAGTGAGGGGAGACTGGAGCAGGAGATTGGCTGGAGAATCGGAGCAGCGTTGTGGCGAAAGGAGAGCTGAGCCGTAAGACAAAGCTCTCGATCTACCGGTCGATTTTCGCTCCTACCCTCACCTATGGCTGGGTCGTGACCGAAAGAACGAGATCGCAGGTACAAGCGGCCGAAATGGGTTTCCTCAGGCGGGTGGCTGGTGTCTCCCTTAGAGATAGGGTGAGAAGCCTGGCCATCCGCGAGGAGCTCAGAGTAGAGCCGCTGCTCCTTTGCGTTGAAAGGAGCCAGTTGAGGTGGTTTGGGCATCTGGTAAGGATGCCTCCCGGACGCCTCCCTAGGGAGGTGTTCCAGGCACGTCTAGCTGGGAGAAGGCCTCGGGGAAGACCCAAGACTAGGTGGAGAGATTATATCTCCACACTGGCCTGGGAACGCCTCGGGATCCCCGAGTCAGAGCTGGTTAATGTGGCTCGGGAAAAAGAAGTTTGGGGTTCCCTGCTGGAGCTGCTCCCCCCGCGACCCGATCCCGGATAAGCGGATGAAGATGGATAGATGGATGGATGGATCTCTACAGACAGACAGGTCCTCACCTCTGTATTTGTCCAGCAGAGTTTTATTCTGAAGGAAACAGTGTTTTACTCTGAAGGAAACTGTTTTATTCTGAAGGGAACAATGTTTTACTCTGAAAGAAAAAGTGTTTTACTCTGAAAGAAACTGTTTTATTCTGAAGGAAACAATGTTTTACTCCGAAGGGAGTTTTATTCTGAAGGAAACAATGTTTTATTCTGAAGGAAACAATGTTTTACTCTGAAAGAAAAAGTGTTTTACTCTGAAAGAAACTGTTTTATTCTGAAGGAAACAATGTTTTACTCCGAAGGGAGTTTTATTCTGAAGGAAACAATGTTTTACTCTGAAGGGAGTTTACTCTGAAGGAAACTGTGTTTTTCTCTGAAGGAAACTGTTTTATTCTGAAGGGAACACTCATTCTCTACAGACAGACAGGTCCTCACTTCTGTATTTGTCCAGCAGAGTTTTATTCTGAAGGAAAAAGTGTTTTACTCTGAAGGAAACTGTTTTATTCTGAAGGAAACAGTGTTTTACTCTGAAGGAAACTGTTTTATTCTGAAGGAAACAATGTTTTACTCCGAAGGGAGTTTTATTCTGAAGGAAACAATGTTTTACTCTGAAAGAAAAAGTGTTTTACTCTGAAAGAAACTGTTTTATTCTGAAGGAAACAATGTTTTACTCCGAAGGGAGTTTTATTCTGAAGGAAACAATGTTTTACTCTGAAGGGAGTTTTACTCTGAAGGAAACTGTGTTTTTCTCTGAAGGAAACTGTTTTATTCTGAAGGGAACACTCATTCTCTACAGACAGACAGGTCCTCACTTCTGTATTTGTCCAGCAGAGTTTTATTCTGAAGGAAAAAGTGTTTTACTCTGAAGGAAACTGTTTTATTCTGAAGGAAACAATGTTTTACTCCGAAGGGAGTTTTATTCTGAAGGAAACAATGTTTTACTCTGAAGGAAAAAGTGTTTTACTCTGAAAGAAACTGTTTTATTCTGAAGGAAACAATGTTTTACTCTGAAGGAAAAAGTGTTTTACTCTGAAGGGAGTTTTACTCTGAAGGAAACAGTGTTTTCCTCTGAAGGAAACTGTTTTATGAAGGGAACACTCATTCTCTACAGACAGACAGGTCCTCACTTCTGTATTTGTCCAGCAGAGTTTTATTCTGAAGGAAACAATGTTTTACTCTGAAGGGAGTTTTATTCTGAAGGAAACTGTTTTATTCTGAAGGGAACTCTCATTCTCTACAGACAGACAGGTCCTCACTTCTGTATTTGTCCAGCAGAGTTTTATTCTGAAGGAAAAAGTGTTTTACTCTGAAAGAAAATGTTTTATTCTGAAGGAAACAATGTTTTACTCCGAAGGGAGTTTTATTCTGAAGGAAACAGTGTTTTACTCTGAAGGAAACTGTTTTATTCTGAAGGAAACAATGTTTTACTCTGAAGGGAGTTTTATTCTGAAGGAAAAAGTGTTTTACTCTGAAGGAAACTGTTTTATTCTGAAGGAAACAGTGTTTTACTCTGAAGGAAACTGTTTTATTCTGAAGGAAACAATGTTTTACTCCGAAGGGAGTTTTATTCTGAAGGAAACAATGTTTTACTCTGAAAGAAAAAGTGTTTTACTCTGAAAGAAACTGTTTTATTCTGAAGGAAACAATGTTTTACTCCGAAGGGAGTTTTATTCTGAAGGAAACAATGTTTTACTCTGAAGGGAGTTTTACTCTGAAGGAAACTGTGTTTTTCTCTGAAGGAAACTGTTTTATTCTGAAGGGAACACTCATTCTCTACAGACAGACAGGTCCTCACTTCTGTATTTGTCCAGCAGAGTTTTATTCTGAAGGAAAAAGTGTTTTACTCTGAAGGAAACTGTTTTATTCTGAAGGAAACAATGTTTTACTCCGAAGGGAGTTTTATTCTGAAGGAAACAATGTTTTACTCTGAAGGAAAAAGTGTTTTACTCTGAAAGAAACTGTTTTATTCTGAAGGAAACAATGTTTTACTCTGAAGGAAAAAGTGTTTTACTCTGAAGGGAGTTTTACTCTGAAGGAAACAGTGTTTTCCTCTGAAGGAAACTGTTTTATGAAGGGAACACTCATTCTCTACAGACAGACAGGTCCTCACTTCTGTATTTGTCCAGCAGAGTTTTATTCTGAAGGAAACAATGTTTTACTCTGAAGGGAGTTTTATTCTGAAGGAAACAGTGTTTTTCTCTGAAGGAAACTGTTTTATTCTGAAGGGAACTCTCATTCTCTACAGACAGACAGGTCCTCACTTCTGTATTTGTCCAGCAGAGTTTTATTCTGAAGGAAAAAGTGTTTTACTCTGAAGGAAACTGTTTTATTCTGAAGGAAACAATGTTTTACTCCGAAGGGAGTTTTATTCTGAAGGAAACAGTGTTTTACTCTGAAGGAAACTGTTTTATTCTGAAGGAAACAATGTTTTACTCTGAAGGGAGTTTTATTCTGAAGGAAACAGTGTTTTTCTGAAGGAAACAGTGTTTTTCTCTGAAGGAAACTGTTTTATTCTGAAGGGAACTCTCATTCTCTACAGACAGACAGGTCCTCACTTCTGTATTTGTCCAGCAGAGTTTTATTCTGAAGGAAAAAGTGTTTTACTCTGAAGGAAACTGTTTTATTCTGAAGGAAACAATGTTTTACTCTGAAAGAAAAAGTGTTTTACTCTGAAGGAAACTGTTTTATTCTGAAGGAAACAATGTTTTACTCCGAAGGGAGTTTTACTCTGAAGGAAACAGTGTTTTACTCTGAAGGAAACAGTTTTATTCTGAAGGGAACTGTCATTCCCTACAGACAGGTCCTCACCTCTGTATTTGTCCAGCAGAGTTTCAGCAGACAGCGCGATCAGAGCCGTTTGAAGAGAAGCAGCTGAAACAGAACCAGCCTGAGTCCTGAAACACAAACAGGGTTTGTCCTCATGGTGGCGCTACTGGTTACTGTTACTATGAATACAAACACAGTGAAGGAATTTCTGTGAGCTTCCTGTCACAGCAGCACATCATGTAAAAACCTGATGAAGTCATGTATTTATAAAGGTATAATATATATTTATCCATAACAGTTAAAGTCATGTATTTATAAAGGTATAATATATATTTATCCATAACAGTTAAAGTTATGTATTTATAAAGGTATAATATATATTTATCCATAACGGTTAAAGTCATGTATTTATAAAGGTATAATATATATTTATCCATAACGGTTAAAGTCATGTATTTATAAAGGTATAATATATATTTATCCATAACAGTTAAAGTTATGTATTTATAAAGGTATAATATATATTTATCCATAACGGTTAAAGTCATGTATTTATAAAGGTATAATATATATTTATCCATAACGGTTAAAGTCATGTATTTATAAAGGTATAATATATATTTATCCATAACGGTTAAAGTCATGTATTTATAAAGGTATAATATATATTTATCCATAACGGTTAAAGTCATGTATTTATAAAGGTATAATATATTTATCCATAACGGTTAAAGTCATGTATTTATAAAGGTATAATATATATTTATCCATAACGGTTAAAGTCATGTATTTATAAAGGTATAATATATTTATCCATAACGGTTAAAGTCATGTATTTATAAAGGTATAATATATATTTATCCATAACAGTTAAAGTTATGTATTTATAAAGGTATAATATATTTATCCATAACGGTTAAAGTCATGTATTTATAAAGGTATAATATATTTATCCATAACGGTTAAAGTCATGTATTTATAAAGGTATAATATATTTATCCATAACGGTTAAAGTCATGTATTTATAAAGGTATAATATATATTTATCCATAACGGTTAAAGTCATGTATTTATAAAGGTATAATATATATTTATCCATAACAGTTAAAGTCATGTATTTATAAAGGTATATATATATTTATCCATAACAGTTAAAGTCATGTATTTATAAAGGTATAATATATATTTATACATAACAGTTAAAGTCATGTATTTATAAAGATATGATATATATTTATAGACCCTGACCTGTCAAACAGCCTGAACATCAGACTGCACGTCTCCTCTGGAGCCTCATCAGTCACATGACCCGACACTTCCTGTGATGCGCTATGGAACATCCTGTTCAGAGTCCGGGTCACTTCCTGCCTGTTCAGCCCCACGTCCTGCTGCAGCGTAGCTCCGCCCACCGCACGTAAGGCCGCCACGATGTGTCGAAGAGACACGACGTGCACTGAAAACACACAAAGACACTGCAGCCAGACGGAGTTCTGTTGTAAAGATGAAGGCCCTCCGTAACGCCAGAGCAGCGTACTACTCGTCATTAATAGAGGAAAATAGGAACAACCCCAGGTTTCTTTTCAGCACTGTAGCCAGGCTGACAGAGTCACAGCTCTATTGAGCCAAGTATTCCCATAGCTCTCAGTAGTTACGACTTCATGAGCTTCTTTAATGATAAAATTCTAGCTATTAGAGACAAAATTCACCAAGACCTGCCCTCAACTGGCACCGACTTATCTCTAAACTCAGGAACCTTAGAAACAGCTGTAGAACCAGATATATGTTTAGACTGTTTTGCTTCCCTCAATCTTTACCAACTAACTTAAATTATTTCTTCATCTAAACCATCAACCTGCCTCTTAGACCCCATCCCGACTAGGCTGCTTAAAGATGTTTTACCCTTAGTCAGCACCTCTATACTAGATATGATCAATCTATCTTTATCAACAGGCTATGTACCACAGTACTTTAAAGTAGCTGTAATTAAACCTCTTCTGAAAAAGCCCAAACCTGATCCGGATGTTCTAGCAGTCGCCAAACAGCTGTGTGACTTTCTATATAGCAAGAACAACTTAAGTTCAAATACACACACTGTGTTGTACTAATACTGCAGTACTGTCTGTAAGTGATGTGATTAGTACATGTAGGACTGAGAATAATATTTGATATGATGAGGTAATAATACATACTGTTGGTATAAACACAGAAACCTAATGTAATAAAATAGTTTAATATATGTATATAAATAAAAGCACTAATGTACTACACCATAGTATAAATGAATTAAAATAAATCTATAACAAATGTTTTGGCCTCACGGTGACAGAGTTTCTGCAGAGACTGAAGCTTCATGGCGACTCTGTAGACGGATGGACGGATTTCATTCAGTCCTTCTGAAGGAAACAAGAACTCAAGATCAGTACAACTATTTTATATAACCCAGAAATAAATCTAACTAAATGCAACGACAGGAAACCACCAACTGCAGCTGCGTCTTTCAGCTTTATTTTCATTATTTAATATATGAAATATTAAAATATATCTGATTTATGATATTACAATCAACATAATATTTTCAAAACAGTAGAACCCAGTAGAATACTAAAGAACATGATAGAATCCAGAAGAGCCCAGTAGAATACTTAAGAACATGGTAGAACCCAGTAGAATACTTAAGAACGCGATAGAACCCAGTAGAATACTTAAGAACATGGTAGAACCCAGTAGAATACTTAAGAACATGATAGAACCCATAAGAACCCAGTAGAATACTTAAGAACATGGTAGAACCCAGTAGAATACTAAAGAACATGGTAGAACCCAGTAGAATACTTAAGAACATGGTAGAACCCAGTAGAATACTTAAGAACATGATAGAACCCAGAATAACCCAGTAGAATACTAAAGAACATGGTAGAACCCAGTAGAATACTTAAGAACATGATAGAACCCAGAAGAACCCAGTAGAATACTTAAGAACATGGTAGAACCCAGTAGAATACTTAAGAACATAGTAGAACCCAGTAGAATACCCGAGAACATAGTAGAACCCAGTAGAACCCAGTAGAATACTAAAGAACATGGTAGAACCCAGTAGAACCCAGTAGAATACTTAAGAACATGATAGAACCCAGAAGAACCCAGTAGAATACTTAAGAACATAGTAGAAGGCAGTAGAACTCAGTAGAATACTAAAGAACATGATAGAGCACAGTATAATACTTAAGAACATGGTAGAACCCAGTAGAATACTTAAGAACATGGTAGAACCCAGTAGAATACCCGAGAACATAGTAGAAGACAGTAGAACCCAGTAGAAGACTAAAGAACATGGTAGAACCCAGTAGAATACTTAAGAACATGATAGAACACAGTAGAATACTTAAGAACATGGTAGATCCCAGAAGAACCCAGTAGAGACAAGCTTACTGAGGCTGTCCAGATCCATGATGATTTTCAATTGAGTCTGGGAACACGATAAATATATATAAATACATATAAATACCATATAAATATATATAAATACTATAAATATATATAAATACATATAAATACCATATAAATATATATACACTATATAAATATATAAATATATATAAATACTATATAAATACATATAAATACCATATAAATACTATATAAATATATATACTATATAAATACCATATAATACTATATAAATACATATAAATATTTTTGTTTGTTTATTTGTTTATTTATTTATTACAGGGACAGTGCATATTCATAAACATTTCTGTCAATATGCCAGAATTAGCCTAAAGGCTATTTTTCATCTGCAGTCCCTAGACAGATGTTAAGAGTCACCCTAAAAAGGATTACATAGTACATAGCACTAAAAAATTAAGATACATTTAGTAAAATATCAATTATATTAAAATATACAATCTAAACACATCAAAACAACAATCGGACAAACATCACGTAAAAACATGACACACACATAAGGGAGAAAAAAAAAAAAAAGTCAACAGTATGCATCAAGGGCATGTGTAGTAATAGGTTAATGTTGACAGCTCTGATGATCAATAAGCCATTTCCTTAACTGAATCTTAAATGAACTATACGTGTTTATATTTCTGATAATTATGGGGGTGAGGTTCCACTCAGCAGCAGTATTTTATAAATAAGACATAGATTTGAGTATTTAACCATATTATCCCAACTGAGCAATCTATATTTTTGTAATATTGGACAGTGATGAGAAATACATGGTTTCTTATCCAGAGTTTTAACAGTTCGTTTGTAAAGTGATTGCAGAGGTTTCAAAGATGTAATACTAGCTTGTGCCCAAATGGGTAGACAGTAAGTGATGTGTGAGAAAATCATAGAGTGCATGTACATTTTTGCTGCCTGTGTGGACATTTGATAGCGAATGTGTCTAAAGTTACTGAGACTATATTTAATTCGATTACAGACCATTTTTACATGTGATGAAGATGATAACTTTGAATCAATTAAAACTCCCAGATATTTGTATTCTGACACGATCTGCAATTTTTCCCCTGAAACAAAAATATCTGGCTCAACACTGAAGTTTTTGTGGGACTTAGTAAAAAACATTGCTACTGTTTTTGATGTATTCAGCTGCAGGCAGGAGTGTTTCAACCAAGCTGTGATGCTATCCATGGAGTTAGTGAGCTTCTCAACCACCTGAGCGATATTCCTACCGTGTGCATAGACTACGGTGTCATCAGCATACATCTGCACAAAAACATCAGGACAAGCGAGTGGGAGGTCATTTATATAAATGGAGAATAACAGAGGCCCTAAATTAGATCCCTGAGGAAGACTGGTGGACAGACTCAAGGCCGCTAATTTAGATGATTGAACTCTGACATGTTGGGAACGGTCAGTGAGATAAGACTCAACCCATTTAAGTGCATCTGAGGAAAAATTAAAATTACATAATTTTGTCAGTAAAATTTTATAATTAACAGTGTCAAAAGCCTTCCTGAGATCCAGAAATACCGCTCCAACAACCCCACCTTGATCTAACAGAACTCTTATATTTTCAGTAAGGAAACAAGTCGCAGTCTCGGTGGAGTATTTTGCTCTAAAGCCAAACTGCATAGGGTGGAGAGCATAGGGAGTGGTGTTTAGATGGTTAATAATTTGCTTTGCAATCAGTTTCTCGGCAATCTTAGACACTGTGGGCAATATACTTATGGGCCTGTAGTTTGACATGGAATGAGGATCTCCACTTTTAAAAACTGGAACAACAACAGCTGGTTTCCACATGCTTGGGAACAAATTTTGAGAAATGGACAGATTAATAATTTGGTGATGGGGGGTGTAATTGATGTACTTAAAGCCTTGAGCATCACCGTATCTATATCAAAAATATCTTTGCATCTCGATGGTCTGAGTGATTTAATGGTCTGTGACACTTCTAGTTCTGTGATATTAAATATGTTGAAAACTGATTGACTTGTGTCTATTGGCGGAGTAAATACGTTCTCAGGTGTAAAACAGCTTGCTATGTTAGCCACAGAATCAATAAAATGATGATTAAAAGCCTCTGCTACCTCTAGAGTATTGTTTGTCAGCCGGTCATTTACTTTAATTTCTACAGTTTTTTGTTCATTGGGTTGATCACCTGTCATTTTTCTTAGCTGGCTCCATATTACTTTAGGATTTCCATTAGATTTCTCAATTATAGTAATAAAGAAATCAGCCTTTGCTTTTCTTAATGACCTTACAACTTTATTTCTCAACATGGCGAAACGTCCTCTGTCATGCGTTGATTTAGTTTTATTTGCTAATTTTAGGGCTAAGTCTCGCTCTTTTTATAATGTCTGGATTTATCCAAGGTACAGTGTTTTTGTTATGTTTGTACTTGATTTTTTGAATGAATTCTTTAATAGTTCTCTCAAGTGTAATTAAAAATGTTTACATTTTTACCATATAATATATATAATACTATATAAATACTATATAAATACATATAAATACTATATAAATATATAATACTATATAAATACATATAAATACTATATAAATACCATATAAATACATATAAATACTATATAAATACATCAGCGTGCCCTGGAAAGAGAATAGAGGAACAAACTGACCTTCCTGTCGTCTGATGAACAAACGTCTTCTGCTGCTGAAACAAACTGAAGCTTCTGAATTATGAATGAGGGGTTCAGGTTTCATCACAGCTGCTGCTCACCTGCTGCCTGTGGACCAATCAGCCGCCGGCAGGGCACCGACTGTACTCACATTCAGTACGGGGCCGTGTTTCACAAGGCTTAACTAACTCTGAGCTGATGCTGCGTTCCAGGCCGCTCTGGGAAACGTCTGACTTTGACCTCAAAGCGTTTCAGGTGCGTGGTGCTGCCTGACGCCACATGTAATCAGTAAACATGGCCGACCGTGACACACTTCTGTTTCTTTGTCAGGTTTCAGCAGACTCTTGGTGTTCATTAACAGGATAAATATCCGCTGTGAGTCCTTCCAGCTACATCAGCTGCTAATCCTCAGCACAAGCTGGAGGCCATGTTTCATTTTCCTGAAGAACGTTTGGGCCAAGAAGATGACTTTACTGTAAGCAGCTACCTGATAACACTGAGAAAACAACTTTTACTGTTCGATACCAGTCTGTGTTATTTTTACTTCATGGTTCACCGTTTACAATGTGTGCTTCCAATTCAATTTTTTTTATATAGCGCCAAATCACAACAACAGTTATCTCACAGCACTTTTCATAAAGAGCAGGTCTAGACCGTACTCTGTGATGTTATTTACAGAAGCCCAACAGTTCCCACCAAGAGCAGCACTAGGAGACAGAGGCAAGGAAAAACTTCCTTTAAGAGGCAGAAACCTCGAGCAGAACCATGACTCAGGGTGGGCGGCCGAGAGAGAGAGAGAGAGAGAGAGGGAAGGGAGAGAGAGGGGAGGGAGAGAGAGAGAGCGAGGGGGGAGGGAGAGAGAGAGAGGAGGGAGAGAGGGGAGGGAGAGAGAGAGAGAGAAAGAGAGGAGAGAGAAAGAGAGGGAGAGAGAGGGGAGGGAGAGAGAGAGAGAGAGGGAGAGAGAGAGGAGAGAGGGAGCGAGAGAGGGAGAGAAAGAGAGGGAGAGAGAGAGAGAGAGGGGAGGGAGAGAGAGAGAGAGAAAGAGAGAGAGAGAGAGAGAGAAAGAGAGGGGAGGGAGAGAGAGAGAGAGGGGAGGGAGAGAGATCGAGAGAGAGAGAGAGAGAGAGAGAGGGAGAGAAAGAGAGGAGAGAGGGAGCGAGAGAGAGGGAGCGAGAGAGAGAGCGAGGGGGAAGGAGAGAGAGAGAGCGAGAAAGGGAGAGAAAGAGAGGGAGAGAGAGAGAGAGAGAAGAGAGGGAGAGAGAGAGAGGAGAGAGATCAAGAGAGAGAAAGAGAGGGAGGGAGAGAGAGAGAGAGAGAGAAAGATTTTTGATTTTTCAAAACACACTTTTATTAGTCGCTACTCGCTCACACACGATACATTTATATCGTCAACACATCAGCATCCACCAGCTGATCAGCCTGGACAGAACACAGCACCCTGCCATGAGCCCACACTGACAAAAAAGTTTCTAAGTCCTGATTTGCTCTGTAAAAACTGAAATCTAACAATAACCTGGACTTCATCATTTTCACAAACAACATCTTCACATTGACGGCTTGATCTGTCTCCACCTTCTTTCTCCTGCTCACATACACGGCCATCTTAGCCTGACCCAGGACAAAGTTTAGCAGCTGACATTTGTTCTTCTGTTGTTGTTTAAAACCACAAATAAAAACCTGTTTAGTAAAAAACTCTTTAAAACCCCTAAAGATGTTTTCCAGCAAAACAAACAGAGAAATGAGACGTGTGCACTCTAAAAACCAGTGAAACACGGTCTCCCTCTGCAGACAGAAAGGACACTGGTCCTGTACATTCCCATTCAGCACAGACACAAAAGAGTTTACAGCCAGTTTTCCATGAAGGATTCTCCACTGTAGGTCTGCATGTCTCTTTGTCAGGGGGGGTTTATACAGAGACCTCCAGGCAGCTCGAAAATCAGGGCTTAAACCCAAATGAGTCCTCCAGGGGGTGTCGCTACGTCCATTAAGTGTCTTTTTGTTGAGCGTTTTTACCAACAGTCTGTACAGTGTCTTTCCTGTGGTATCACTCAGAGACACCCCAGCAGAGTTGACCAGTAAAGGTCCCGAAACATCGGTCAAGTCAGGAGACAGAGTGGTAGAAGGATATGGGTCAGTGTCGTCCGGCAGCAGAGAGCCGTCTCTATAGTCCATCAGGAGAGAGACCTCGTGTCCCGTCAGCTGATGTCTCCAGTGTCTCAGTAACAGACTGACATAGCGGCTCGACCTCAGCCCCGGACGAACCGCCAGACCAGCAGGACGGTCCAACCGAGGTCCGGTCAGCTCCTCCACCTGCCCCAGCGTGGAGATCCTGGCAGTGCGGAGCTTGTCAAACAGAGTGGGTGAAAACCCCCCAAGACAGTCCAGACGTCCTCCAAACAGA